ACAAGCTTATAGGAATACAACTTTATAAAAAGATCAGTAACCACTTTCTCTGTTGTCATGATGAAAAAGAATTACAGAGAAAAAGTGATTAGGAAACATCTTAAAGACTCAGGGAGGTTTAACAGAGACCTTGGATAAGAAAAGAGGTATACTAATTCATACAGAAGCTTTCTTCCTCCTTTGGAAATGGAATGTACTGTTCACTTTTTGTGGTCTAAGATAATAAGGACTTGGAATATCCTAGCTAGTGCCAAAACCTGGGTAACAGTGATGGATATTGTGCTGGACTTGTGCACAGGTTCTCTAGAGCAGTACTGGAATTATCTGAGTTCCTTGGGGTGTGCAATTTCCTGGAAGAAGAAATGCTGAAGAGTGCAGAATGCAGTGTTTCATGTAAAAATTAGTTCAGATTGATTGGACAGTCAAATCCAATTTAACAGTAATTAATTCAGCTAAAATTAAAATGATTATTAGTAGAGTTACTAGCATGTCCAGGAAAGCATTGCAGTGAAATCTGAAGTGCATTTAGAGTCTTTTGAGGTCCAAAACCTAGGATTTTGTGCCATAAGAAACTAGTAATACACCTAATGAACCTGAGAATGTAGGTACATTTTCATAATGCTGTGTTGGAGTTACTAAACTCACTCTCCATCATCTACACAGATAATGTGCAATGTAGGTAATATGACTGCAGATAATTTACTCTAATTGCTACACTATTATTGAGAGATTGTCCAAAAAGAAAAAAAAAAGCTTTGTTCCATGTAACATTTATTCTTTGAAAGCCTGCAAAAATGGTCAGAGATTGGCAGTGCACTGAGGCTAGATTTTTGAGCTACCATTAATGTTAATACTGATCAAAATGAGGTGGAAGTGTTTCTGCTGTGTCTTAGGTTGGGAGGATGAGGAATCTCAGAACTTCAGCCCAATGTCAGTAAAATACCAGTAATCTCTTTTTTACAAGATCTCTCTTGTACTGCTTGATATATATCACTTACTCAAAAGATATTTGTTTACCTTGAAGAAAAGAATCGTCAAAAAGATGAACCTGGTGAAGGCTCCGCAGAAGATTCAGATAATGAAAATAAAGACAGAAACCTTGGAGATACAACTGACATCCTAAACATGGTAATATATTCCACTAATGAATCTGTGAGTTGTTGCTTTTGTGCAGGGGGACAACGCAGATAAGTCACGTTTCAAGTTTTAGTACAGAACTTTTGTGTAGCACAGAACTTTTATGTGGCATGAAGAAGTAATGACATACTGTTAGACAAGCATACATTTCATGTCATCGTTATACAATGAAAACATTTATTTTCCTTTTCCAAGTGATATTTTATTATGACATTGAAGCAGTTGTTACCACAACCCCTCCCAACACTCTGCTCTGGATATCAGAAAGAAAAGGAAAAGAGCACTGGATACCCCATAGTGATCTCTATCTCTGAACTTCTTCCTGTTGATGATTTCCAGGAGAGAGAACTGCAGGAAGAGAAACAGATCTCTGTTCCTCAGAGAGCTTTTTTAGTATAGGTGGAACATATTAGAGGGAAGACCAAAATGGAGACAGTGTAACATACTTGATCCTCAAGTATGTTCCCAGATATTTTTCTTATTTAAAAACTGTTCACCTTATCACTTGTGCATCTTCCCAAAACATTTTCTTCTCTCAGCAGGTAGGGCATATCCCGACCTTAACCCAGTGCAGCAGAGAGTTTTTGTTTTCCTTCAGTGGAATGTAAACAAATGTGCAAATCACTATGGACTCAGCTCAAGATATCTTGTCAGTTGTACTGGGGGGATTGCACATTTTACAGGAATTTGTTTGTACTTAACAAGTACTTAGTAATTTAACGATCTGTGCATACCATATAAACTTAGAAAACTTCGTTTACAAGAAAAAATTGTTTTCAGATGTGATGAACAACATGGCTTTAATTAATTTACTGAGACATAACATTGCACCCTTTATATAATAGACTTCTTTCCCCTTTTTATTTTTGTGTCCATTATGAGCCAGTTTCAAAACATCAGAATGAAACAGTAGATTTGAAAAACATCTGTCAGGTAAACTTGTCAAAATAAAAAAACAAATCCAATTGATCTTCATGAATTTAAATGAAAGTAAGCTGTTACAGCATAGATGTTTAAATTTTTCTGAATTGTGGAAACATATTTTGTTGACAAGTGTTTGAGCAGGAAAAGCCTTTAATGGCATGTTGATGATAAAGTTCTGGAAGTCAGAAACCAGAACTATCCATGCCCATTGTCTTGAAAAAGAATATGGTGGTTAAAGCATAAGCAGTTAGCTATCCGCTGCAGAGAGTATATTCTACTCATTTATGGTATATGGGAAAGGATGGCAAGAATCTCACTATTCTTGCCCACCTAGTAGCATTCTTCATTGCCTTGCCTTTTATATTTTTCTTGCTGAGACAAAGATAAAGGCATCAGATTACAACGAAAAAATCTGCTATAGTGCTTCTTTGAACATGTGCTTTCAAGGCTGTGGAATCAAACTGGATGTTAAGTGGAAGGCTGGGATGCTAAGGTAGTAAAGTGTTCAGTTTGTAACCACAACTTCACACTGGGTGGGAAGCGGATATAAAATGTGCTTGTGGGCACTAAGAGAAGGCATGTAGCTTTCAGTCTCCATAGTCTCCAATATAGACATATAAGCTGCTTACCACTTGCTCTTTGTAAGAAATAAATGAAGGAGTGGGTATAAAAGATATGAGTTTGAATAATCATACAGACTTCTTCTCAACCTGGCTATGCAATAGTATTACAGTGGTCATATGCCATGATGGTGCTGTGCTTTGCACTTCTCACACTTCTCAAAAGCTGTGTGCATTCCTGATTTAATCAAATAGCACCGCTTCTTCAGGTTTTAACTTACTAGTAATGTCATAATTGAAATAGCAGTTGTACATTTAAAAGAAAACTTACTCTGATTACAGTTTTTGACTACAACGCTGCTTTGCTTATTCGTGGGCTCAACAGTTCTTCACTGCAAGATCCAGCATTTTCTCAGAAGCCTTTTTCTGAAGAAGTCTGATTGTCCCTTAGAGTGTTGGTAGCTGGAAAAGCAACAGTTATGATGGAAGATAGTGCTGCCTAGTCATTTCTCTTGTTCAGGTCTCCTTTTGCCTCCTCTGCTCTTCAGAGGAGCAACTCACTGTCCTTTCAGCCAAGAACCAGATGACCTGAAAAGGCAAATTACCTGATCCCTTTCCTTCACTGGAGAAATTATTCATTTGGCAACTGTTTTAAAGAGGAAGTGCCAGTTGATGCAATATGCTTATGTATATGAGAACAGAAACAAAGCAATAACCTTCAGGTAGTGAAAATCTGCAGCCCACATAGTATTAATAATTGTCTGAACATAAGAATCTATGATTTTATTAATTTTTTAATTAAATAAGCTTATTTACGAAATGTATGCTCCAAAGAGGCCCTGCCATAGGTATAAGTTTCTGTTAATCAAATTTTCCTCTACTTGTTGGGGTGCTTTCACATTTTTAACATGTATGAAGGTGTTTACTTGTTAGACGTGTATCATTAGTGACAACACAATGAGAAAATTGATAAATACTAAGTTTAAAATCAGTAGTTTAATCTCTAGCTCAGGGATTTTTAAAGTGCTTTTTGACTCAAAAGTTATCAGCTAAATAAAAGCAATAGACTAAGTTCATATAACATTTAGAAGCCTAACCTAAAAACAAACATTTACCTATCTTCCTTACCGAATGAGACTGGTAAGGATACACAGGAACCTTTTTAAATGTTATACTGCATATTTCCTTTGAAATAGTGTGAAGATTTGAGTTCCTTTACAGAAACTATAGCTTTCATTTAACTAGCAATATAATTGGCAAGCATGAGGCTTGAAAAATAGTCTAAGATTCTCCAATGAAAAAGTTTTTTGAAAATGTTGATACGATGTCATTGTGCAACCTTTCCTTACTAGTTATATTCATTCTGAGATCTCATTCTTTGCAGACACATGTGATGAAATTGAATTCCGGTGACCAGTCCTTAAAATTATCACCAATCCAAAAACAAAAGGTACTGTAACTAATTATATATTTATATTTATACTCATGTTTAAAATATTTTATATAAAATACATTTAGAATATTTTATATAAAATATTTTTAGTCCTTGTATTATCCAAGTACATCATTGTTTTTTTCTGAGTTTTAACAAAAGCTAGACCAATTTTATAGGTCTTTTCTTGCTAATATTAGGAATATCCAAGAGGTAAAATTATAAAAAGCTAGCTGAAGGCAGGGAGGATTTGTGCAGGCACATAGAACTTGCATGTCCAGAGCAGTTTGAGAGTGTATAGCACTCTCCCAGTCTAAGGAGCAAGAGGCTATCATAAACACTTTTTAATTTATTCCGGTAACATACATATCTTCTGTTGATACCAGAATGGTTTAACTGACTTTCAGGGACAAGAAATAAGTAAAGATTTTATTTACAAAAAACAAGCAAACAAACAAAAAAATTGTTGAATATATTTAAAGGACCAATAATACAGGTCTTAATTATAAAATTAAAATATCTTGAAATTATTACTCTGCTCTACTTCTAAAACAATAACAGTGTTTCAGGCATTTTGGTATATTTCATTATTTTTCTACATATCATTCTACATTTAAAAAAAAAAATTTGCAGAATTTGTTAAATAAGAGTAAACTTCAAAGCAGAAAGACAAAAGATTTTCAAACTTAATAGAAAAAACATAACAATGAATCAGAAGATTTCCCAAGGGGACAGGTGGAAAAAGGTGTCTGAGAAGTGTTATTCTTCCTTGTGTTCACACTACCACTCTCACAACTTGCTGTTACTCTACCTTATGGGATGTGATAGTGGCTGAATAGTTAGTTTTGCATTCACGTTGAGTGCTTGGACAGTGAAAAACAGTACATTTGACATAAACAGGATGTTATATTCTTCTAATATGTATACATCTAAATTAATTTCATTTGAAATACTCCACCTTTTATGTTACCTTTTGTTCCCATCACACAAATTGTTTCTTTTCTTGTTCAGATGTTTCTGTAGTCTTTCTTTTGCTGTCATTTGTCCTTAATGTTTTCCTTCTTTCTTTTTAATTTTCTGCTTCTCATGTGGAATAGAAGAACAATAAAAATGTGAAACTTAAAAAAGATGGTAAGGGTGGGCTGAAAACCATTGATTCTGATTTCATGCAGAAAGGTCCAGAATTAGACTCTGGTTCTTTACAAAAGCAGTCTTCACTTTCAGAGTCACCAAGACAATATGCAGATTTAGAAAAAAGTAGTGCCTTTGTAAGGAAGCCTGTGGCCAAAAAAATTAGAACGAAAGGTAAATCTGAGCATGCACAAAGTGTTAGTACCTCGAAAAGTGGTGTTCAACAAACCAAGGACAAATGTATATTAGTGAAAAGGGAAAAAGAATATTCAGAAAATCCTGAAATTGCCAGAGAGGAAGTAACACATAGTTTTCCCACTGAAAAACAAATTCTGACTGAAAAAGCAAATTATTCAGATAAAAAATCAAAAGTTGTTAGATCTAAGCAATCCCTTAAAATAGATGTACTTCCATCTGCATCCAGTAATCAGCTCCAGATTGGTTTAATTGCAGAAAAATCCAATCTTGTTGAAAACCAAGGAAGTCAAGAAGCAGTAGAAAGTGAAAACAAAATAAAGAATGCTGTTGAAAAATCTAATAAATGTGAAAGAATCAGTGTCAGAGGGAAAGAAAATAATGTAGAGGGGAGGGAGTTTAAAAAAAAGGATCAGATTTTGAAACAAAGAGCAGTAACTATGTCATCATCTTCAAGTGAAGAAAATAGTAATGACCTTGCAAAATACATACTTAAAAGTAGGGAAAAAGAAGGGGACCGTTATGAAGGCAGAGAGATCCAGAAAGCAATGAAAACGGTAGAAAATGTAAAAGATTCAGACTTAGAAAAAGAAGGTCAGTGAAATTGAAGAGATGCAAGCTACAAACAACATGAAAGACTATGTAGAAGACACTGATATAAAAAGCCTAAATGAAGAAGAGACAAACTCAGAAGCTAAATCTAATGAAGAGAGACAGTTAGAAATCGAGAATGATGAGGAATCTAATCAAGAGCAGGAAAGTGAAGAGAGTGGAAAGGGTAAAAGTGAAAAAGAAAATGGATATCAACTGAATGAAACAGTTGATAGCGAAGTTGAACTAGGGGAGGAAGAAGAAGAGACTGAGGTTGAGAAAGACAGAGACGAGGTTTCAGCAGAAAGAGATGAAGATAAAGAGGAAAGAGATAATGAGGAAGAAGATGAAAGAGATGAATCACAGGTTGAAAGAGACACTGAGAATGAGAATGCAGAAGTTGAAGAAAATCATCAAGAAGATAGCACAGACCAAGGAGATGAGAAAGGCAGGTTGATAGAGGAAGAAGAAATATTAAGTGAGGGAGAAAAACAGGATATTGAGGAGGAGGAGGAGGAGGATGCAAAAGACAAACAAACTGAAAAAGAAAAGGAGGAAGGGCATGAAAGTGAGGAAGGTGATGAGAGTGAGGAAGGAGATGAAGATAGAGACAGGGAGCAACAAAAGGAGGTAGAGGCAGAACAGGAAGGAGAAGATGAAAATGAAGAAAAAGAAAGGGAGAATGAAGGAGATGAGGGTGAAGAGGGGGAGTTAGAAGAAGGATTGTCAGGGAGAGAAGAGGAAGAGAGAGATGAAGAAGAACAAGAAGAGGAAGATAAGAGGGCTAAGGAGGTGGAGGATGTTGGAGTGGAAGAGGAAGAAGAAGATGGGGAGGATGAAATGGAAGAGCAAAGAGAAGAGGAGGAGGCAGGGGAAGAAGCAGAGGTAGAAACAGAAGGGAAGGAGGGAGAAGAAGATGAAAACAAGGAAGAAGAGGAGGGGGGAAATGAAGAGGAAGGGGAAGAAGAAGAGGGAGAAGGAGAAGGAGAAGAAGGAGAAAGGGGAGTGGAAGAAGAGGGAGAGGAAATTGAGGAGGAAGAGGGAGAGGAAGTTGAGGAGGAGGAGGGAGAGGGAGCTGAGGAGGAGGGAGAGGGAGCTGAGGAGGAAGAGGGAGAGGAAGATGAGGAGGAGGAGGGAGAGGGAGCTGAGGAGGAGGAGGGAGAGGGAGCTGAGGAGGAAGAGAGAGAGGGAGGTGAGGAGGAAGAGGGAGAGGGAGTTGAGGAAGAAGAGGGAGAGAGAGGGGAGGAAGAGGCAGGGGAAGAGGGAGAAGAAAAAGAAGAGGAAAAGGAGGAAGAGGAAGGGGAAGAGGAAGAAGAAAAAGGAGAGGAAAAGGAGGAAGACAAAGGAGAAGAGGAAGAAGAAGGGGAAGAGAAGGAAGAAGAAGGGGAAGAGGGAGAGGAGGAAGAAGAATTGGAAGGAGAAGATGAAGGGATGAGGGACAGGAGGAAGAAGAGGAAAATGAGGAAGAAGAAGGGGAGGAAGAAGAAAAGGGGAAAGGTAAAATAAAAATTGTTAATAATAAGCTTCCGCAAAAGAAAAGCCAAACCAGGAAACCAGGGAAGACAGAAAGTTCTGCTGTACCAAACAGCTCTAAACAAAAAATGAAGTCCAAACAGCGTGTAGCAAATGGTTTGCATAATTCAGAACAATTTTGGAACAATGTGCTGCCTCATTATTTAACTCTAAAGTAGTACGGACTACTGGATATGCATTTTAAGCCTACTCAGGAAGATCTGGAACTGTGGTAGACTAATTTTAAAATGTAGCCAAAACTTTTTATTATACATATACTGAAGTGCCTATTTGTTGAAAAGGACTGAAGGAAATGTTTAGATTTGGGAAGCTCTTATGAGATAAGTCATTTGCACAGACATCTTAATCATATATGACAGTTGCTGAGGAAGGAAAGTGTGTATGCCTCAGATTATAACTTCATGCTGATAACATTAATTACACATTTTAATAGTGTAATCTTTGCCTTTGAATCAGATTTTTTGAAGTAATACATGAATTTTAGTTGCAACTTACTTGTTAATGTGCCTTATATGAAAAAGAGTGTCAGTAAATCAAAGAAACACATCTTAAAATGTTATTTTACCATATTCATTCTCACTACTTTTCTTCTGTTTATATAAAATGTTTGTTTGAGTATTCAGCATAAATTAAAGAAAGGACAATTTGCCAAATCTGCATGGATCAGTATATGGGAGGGAAATGGAAAGGCAAACCGGGGTAAATGGTAGCCTAGGCTTTTCCAAAGGCCTTAACGTTGACTTCTTATTTTTGTGTGCACAATTATGTGCAAAAAGACAAACAAGAGCCTCAGAATTAGGCCTATATTGCAGTATACTCAGAATACATTTGCTTAGTGATAATTTTTGACTATCACGTTAGGTAATTTGACAGAAAAGATGACAAAGATTCAGTAGCTGCCTACAAAAGTCTAAACTACATTAGTCATCTAACTCTCAACGTTCCCAAGGAGGGGAATGTATTTGTTGCAGTGTGAAGTATATATGTATGTTTTCAGGATCAGAGCTTAAGCTTACTTCTCATTGGAGGAGGTTTGTGTTTACCCTTCCTAAAAGTCACATCAGTGATCTCCAGAAAGAAGATACTGTAGTAAACCAAGAAACTAGATGGAGTAGTAGCAAAAGTGGTGTGAAAGTCTAAACTACTTTCGTAAATTACAAAGTATGCTAATATTTCTAAGGCTTCCTTAAAATGCACAAAAAAGATCTTGAAAATTATTTTTGTGATTTTGAAATACTGTGCTATTTCTAATAGTGGTTGAATCAGCAAAAGAAGGGAAATGAACTCTCGTCATTCAGCATTATTAGTTATTACTATGATAATAGGTGGTCTGAGGAAATTTTGTAAACAGATCTCAGTATTGACGTTCTCTGGAAGAATTATTATTTAAAACTTATTTAAAATGAGTACAGGAGAAGAAAGAAGCCAAAATGAGTAAACATCACTCAATAAAAATGTTAATGGATGATTATATTGAGATTATGAAACATTTTTAATGTTGTTTTGTAAGATAAGTGACATTAAACAATCTTTGACACAGTGTCTCCTGAATTTATTTTCTCTAAAGACTGTGGTAGATTAATGATTTGCCAGTAGCTTCTAGTTCAGTTCAACCTTTCCTACTTCAATCACCCCTTTCATGTACCATGTTTGAAGGTAAGATCGATTTTAGTAACATGCTGTATGCAATAACTCTATCAAGAATACTTACTCCTGTGACTGTATTTTGTCCCTGTGAAATTAATTTCAACCTTTGGAACTTTCTGGAATATGTTATGCTGACATGAGTATGTGTAAGTCTTTGGAAAAGGGTAAGTACCCTGATATTGTGATAGACTGGAACAGACTGGAACATTTTAACAGTTAAATGCACTTCCTAAGAAGGCAGCTTACTCTAGTAACGGAGTGCTGTGAAAATACATACGTTTGAAACTAACTAAACTGTGTTATTTTATTTCTTAGGAAAGATTAGGATGTTACTGTGACTAAACTTAATACTATACTATTAATATTAACTATTAATATTATAGTAATAAGTATTTTTATAGACCTAAAACCATGTTTATTGACCACGGGCATCTTGGATACGATGCCTACTTGTTTGCGATTCTGAAATTCAGTCTTGGAAGAATGCTGTATGCTAAGAAAATTATGTTATTTTTTATGAATAATATTTGAGAGAGAGAAAAAAAAAATCAAACACAACAACACGAGAGCACTTTGAAACAAGTGATTTCAGGTTCCACATGGGAATAAATCTTCATTTACTGTTTGGGTGTAGTTTATAATCTAGATCCTTAGGTAAGTGGGGACCATTTGTTATTGCTCTCTTAACACATGCTAGTAGTATAAGTCTTCCCAGTGTTTCCTTGGAGTGTGAAAGAAGCCAAGTTGTGGGCATCTCCTCGTCTTTATTCTGTCTGGGTAAAAATTCTTTGAAATGAGAACTGATTTTATATTGCTTTGTGGATCATTCCTGTGGTAGGGGAAAAGCAGAGCATTGCTGCATCTCTTCTGATGGTTTTCCACTGAACAGTTACATAAATTGTACACTATGCCAATGTTTGGGGGGACTTTGGAACTCCATCAGCATAACTAGAGTGGAATTTTGTTTTATTTGACTCATGCGGATTTATAAAGCTTGGTAGTTGCGGTTTTATGGAAATTCAGCACATCCTTGATATTTACTATAGAAAAAAAGATTTATGTGCAGTACTTAAACAACATGGCAGAAGTACTCTCAAACTAGTTTCTAGTGGAGAAAAAATCCTGAAATAGAGAGAGAAAACAACAGACATAATTGCCCAGACCAAAGGTCTATCTAGCCCAATGTCTTATTTCTGCCAGAGGCAACCTGTGAATGCCTGGCAAAAAAATAAATAAAAATATGTGACGATACTTTTCCTGTATAACCACTCAGCCTTCAATAATCTTTGCTTCAGAAGTTGTATCTGTTGTATATAATAGCCTTTTTCTTTCCTTCATTAATTTCTTACACTCACTTTTTGAACCCATGGAAGCATTTTGTGTCTGGTCCATGTTTTGGCAAACAATTCTTAGATTACCTTAAATGTTGTGTGAAGAAGTAACTCTTCTCTTTCTCTCGAATCTGTCGTGATACTTTCATTTGATGTCTCTGTATTAGAGAAGAGCATTAATTGTCTCATGATTTATTCCCTCATAGTTGTTACAGGGAAAAAGCGTTCAACTCTGTGGTTGAAACCGAGATGAGATCAAAGTGGTTTATTGATATGTTAATGATAGTTAACCAGCAATCAATGAACTGCACATCCAAGATCAACAGCAGTAACACAGCAGGTACCAACAATACTAGACCTCCATAACATGTTAATAAGCAGATGCAAATTTCTGAGCAGCCTTTTGCTGCTGATCTCAGAAACTCAAATCCCCACATACACCTTCATGAGCACGTTCACAGAATTGCACGTAAATACAGTTCTTCTCACAGCAGGCACAAGTTACAAGCACATACCTGATTTTCAGGGGGACGGGCAAATCAGCTATTGCCAAACACCTCCTGTTAGAGATGAGCGTGTTCGAGATTTATCTGTGCCCAAGCTGCTTCCTTCAATCTGCTAATCCCCATGCTGGTGAGAAAGCACCCCGTAACAACCCATACACACGAGGTGTGAGTCTGCTTCTTCACTGTAGCCTGTCCAGCAGCTGGCGTGCAGGCATCTGGCAGAGAGGCTGTTCTCTCAGGCCTTGAGGAAGTGCTGGTGGGGGAGGCCGTGGCAGTATCACAACCAGTTTTGTCCACTCATCTATTCCCACTTCCCTCCCCTAATGTCACAAATTGGTGCTTTTATACTTCTTTTCAAGCTGACTCCGACTTTCTTTGGGTTTTCAAGTCTCTTTGTTACCGTGTAATCCACCCAATGCTTATTTTAAACATATTTTGACATTGTCAATTTTCTCTTTGTCAAATTGAGGGCAAATGAATGCTTGAGTTTTTGGTATTCACCTTCCACGCACTTATATCTGTCAACACTGAATTTTGTCACCCATTCACTTTATGTAATGAACCCCCTCCGCAACTCTTCACCATGAGCTTTTGTCTTTACTCCCCAGAAAAACTGCAAGCCCTGTGATATCATGGTTCACTTCTTCCCAAATTGTTTCTGAATAAGTTGTACCATAAATTTTCCCTCATGCTTGCAAAATTTCAGCATTTAAATTTTGTCATGTTATACCTGAAAATATCAAACTATTCAAATAATTGTTCTCTTTGCGTAATTTGTACTGAAAAACAAAATTTTCTTTCTCCAAACTACAGAAAATACCTGGTTTGGATTAACTATGTTTTGTTCTGGTGTCTTATCTGGGTAGGTACATCCTTCTTCTTTAGTATGGGGCCATTAGGAATCATGCAGAAAAGGACGTTTAGCTTTTGTTTCCATTGCTTTTACATTTTCCCCCAAGCTTTTCTTAGCTAAAAGGTAACTTTCAGCTTATTTTCTCCATAAAGGAATGATACTTTATTGATCTTATTTCTCGGAACAGCAAACTGAATTTGCAGTGTGAATGTAGTCATTTGACAAATGCATGGCTGAGATACCCTTGCTGGTAGAAATAAATAAATAACAATTAAAGGGCAAAGCATATTTTTATATTTCTTAATGCAATCTGACCTTTTTCTTAGGACATATAGACTAGATTTATGAACCGTGAACTTTTTGTGTATGTCTTTAATTTTAAAATTAGTTTTATGGGAAGCCAAATCAAGTTCAGAAATAACAGGATCTTCGGACAAAAGAATGTTGTCAGATCTGTAGCCTGTAATAGACTACATGGTATCTGATACACAAGGGCAAATTCTCAACTCATTTCTAGATATGCAATTCAGATAAATGGTGATGTTTAGTCCTGTAGCATTCTACGAGCAACCGAGTTAATGTTTTTCTTGCACCAATGGCAAACCTATAGTTCTGTCCTCAGTTAAGTTCTGAGCATGTTCTTGACCTGAAGTCACTCATTAAGTTATAATATTTTACACTTATAATATTTCACACTTTTTCATATGTTTTAATGCAGAGAAGAGAGGTTTGCTTATGCATAGTGAAAGATTTTGGTGAGATATCTTTGGCGTCAAAAAATTGCACTGCTGAGAGTTACTGAGGCTTTACTTTTCTATTGCAAAAAGACAAAGCAAGTACACTTTTCTTCCTCTGGGTGATGGGTAGGTTACAGGGCAGCCTGATGGAATGTCCCAGGTTTAATTTTCTGGGTCTGGAGCTTCGTAATTTGTAATAAGTAGTCCTTTCACACAGAATTGTGTTAGTGGTTTGTGTGAAATGTAAAGTATTTGTGGTTACATATTGAGAGTGAGCTAAACAAAGGTAGCTGTAACTAGAATTATGTATTAAACAAAGCCTTCATCTGCATTCATACCTGAGGAGATGTAGATCACTCTAGTGTTGAAGAGTAATGTTTCCCACTTCCTCTATACCAGTGATGTTACAAGAGACTGCTGGGACATTCATCTGGAAACTCAGCAATCATCATTGACGTAATACGAGTTTGGGGCTGTGAGCCACCCTGGCAGAGGCTGGATTTTCTTAAAAGGAAGTTTAAAATAATTACTTTCATTTTATCCAGTGTTCAGCCAAGTTGCAAAATGCCTCTCGTTATTAGAAACGCAGCAGCAGAACTACTGCAAAATGGACACTTACTGACATTTCCAAGAAAAAACAGAACAATGTAAACATTTTTCTATAAGAATTTCAAAAAAATGCAGAAAATGCATCCATCCATTCCCAACATACTTTTGACAGACCCTTTGTCTGTTAACATTAAGAATTCATTTTTTTTTATGCAGCATAATATCTTTCAAAGACACACCAAATTTCTGAGATAATATATTCTGATTTGAAGCTGCTCATATTTCATCTGTTTTGCTTAGGTACCTAGGATTTGTTTTGGTATGCTTTTTTCAAGTGATTAAAGATTAAAGGGTATTTATGTAAAATGGTTTATAAGAAATTATATTCGATGTAAATAGTCTTCAACTTGTTTTGTGATTCTTCACAAAACATGCTACTTCTGCAGCAGTTGGTTGTTGGTTTTTTTGCTTGTTTATTTTTCTTTTCACCTTTGAAACTGATATTAGTTATTTGTTCTCCAAAGAAAGGAGACTTTTTGGAGAAGATACTGTTTTGTATATGAAAGCTGTAATGCATCTGAGCTATTTCACATGTTGACTTATCTTGGGAAATAAATAATAAAAATTTATTCTGACTTGCTGGAGAAAGTATCTTTTAGGTAATTCTATTTAAATCATTTTTGTAGTTAATAGATTAAGTCAAAATCTAAAGCAAACCTGAAAGTACAAATGCTGCCTTTTTTAGAAAGAAGTTTTACATTAAGGTTTCATGCATTGTTAAGGAGTTGTTTATACTCAAACAAAAATTCAGAGAGGTATCTTTCTTCAGTTACTCCTACAATAACAAGCCGGCAAGCCACAGACTAATTACATCCCAGCCAGCTGAAATAATCTGTAAGATACTGGCAGCAACAAAGGGCTGTCTAGTACTGTGTACTAAACATCACTGTACTGTTTCTGAGTGGTATCTGAAGTCCTGAAAATGCAATCAGATTTATTTTTAATGCAAAGTATGTATACTGCCAGCCTGCAACAAAAGTGGACAGATCTGTGGAAACTTACAGGCCCTCTTGTTTGGTTTCTGGTAAGCAAACTGTTCTGTTTAGTAAAGTACAGTCAGAGATGACTTAGGAACACAACAAGGAAAAATGAGTCTGTTCAGTTTCTATCTACGTTGTTTACAGCTATTCACTATTTTACTCAAGGTTTCTCAAGTGACACCGTCCTGTTAGAGGATGCAATTGTAGTGTCACAAATACTATTGCAGTAATTTGTCGTCACATATTCATAGTAGTCATTGCATTACTGTGTGGGCATCAAATACTTTGAGACATTTTCTTCCATCATATTAACAAAAAAAACACAGCTATCATTAGAGTTCAGTTTTTGCGTGACATGTAGGAACAGAAACTCATGCCTTACATAAAAATTACTTTTGCTTGACTGTCTGCACAGTGTGCAGGAAATTACGAGTTCAGCATTACATTAATATTCCAGGACACTTGCATGACACAAGTCTTCCCTGGTAAGGGACTGTTAAAAGTATCAGATAATCTGTGTCAAATGCTCTTGACATAGAATTATCCAATTACCAAACAAATAAAACCTCGTAGGATTCCAGATTTTAATTTTTAGACAAGGTACGGTGATGGGCTTTGCAGTTTACTGAAAATTCTTTTGGGTGTATTCAGCTGAGCTCCCCTGTTTGTCTTCATGAAAATATACACTGGAAAGCCTACTTTGGCTTTTTGACTGCCTCACTGCTTGTAAGTGAAAGAATAAGCTTTTAAATCTCTCATTTGAGTACTCTCATTTGAATACTTCTATCTTTTATCTGTACAGCTTTTTCTTTAATAATCATTGAAGTGGAAAATACTTCTCTAAGGGTTAGAACAGCTGAGCTAATAGCTTTTCTATATTAATAGCTACAAAATGAAAGTCCAGTTCAAATTCCTAATGACATGGCTAGCACTATATGGGTTTTAAGATATTAAGCTTTCGCTGTAACCCCTAAATAACTGTGAGGTATGTATCTTAGCCTTATGAAGAATTTTGTAAGAAAGTATTTCCAATCACTCATTCTATAACTTGACATCCTTGCAAGATCAATATCAACAAAATGTTATGTGCCTACCCATCCATATATTTCTAACCCACAAAGGGTAAACAGAATGATTTTTATTGTCTTCTTCATCTATATGTAAATTAATGGTTAACATTGTTACTTTATATGCCTTGTTAGTAAAATATTAGCATAGTGTATTTTCCCAGCATAGACAATTCAGGAGTGACATTGACAAGCATTAGTGTCTCAGAGATCTTCAGAAGTTGTAATTCCTATACCTCTTCCTCCTCAATCCTGCATCAAAAAAGGATGGTCTGTAGAAGTGTATTTTGTCATTGTTCTTACCAGTACTTTACAAAGTGAGCATTAACTCCCGTATGACAGCATTATGTACTGTGGCCCATAGATCAACCTCTATAGAGCTCATACCCATCTTCCATGAGTCGTCTTCACAGTGAAACTCCTATTAGGTGTGCATTTAGTTCAGTTGTTGTACTATATAAGAGACCCACAGGATACTTTGGGGCATCTAAAGGCTAGACAGGTAAGGGGGGGAATCTGTTCCTTCCATGATTAAAAACTCTGATAAGCAATTGCAAATTTGTGGCTGCTTGGCAGAAGGTAGCCAAAGAAGCCTGTAGCTAACTACCTCATTCTCAGCTGTCTCTATAATAAACTCCTCTGTGGATTATGAACAGTTTCCTGGACAAATAGAAATATCTATTCTGTAGACCAGAACTTCCCAGAATTTCTTAGTGGTACACATAGGAATTACAGATTTCTTTTTGTTGGTGAGTTTTCACAAGATTTTAAAAGATTTGAGAAGATCCAGTTATATTTTGTCAGTGGTTCTGAGATTTTCTTCCCTAGAAACATAAATTGGTGGTGGCAAACCAAAAATATTTTGACTTCTTGAGGAGACTTGGAAAGATACCATAAGACTTCC